CAGGGTATCTCCCAGTGATTATAATACAGTGTGTTTTTCACAACAGCTAGAGAGAAGATTAGGGAGGTTTCATCACAAGAAATGATGTTTGAGGTGACACACATGCTAATTAGGCTGATATGATCTTGACACTATGTATGCACACATGGAAAACTCACATTGTATCCCATGCATTCTTGTCATTATATATCTGTTAAAGCACACAAGAAACACTAAAATTAACTCCACATGTGCTGAGTATCCTCTGGCTTTCTTTTTCCCATTTTCTTCACTGGTGACAGGAAGAAGAGTCATTGATTCCTAGAAGCAGAATGCATAATATTGAAGACTGGGGAGGTGGGGCTTGAGGAAGTTCCTCCAAACTATCAACGGAGTGATCTGCTTACAGACTGGTGGTGTTTAAATGTATCTTGCTAAACCTCATGTCTCCTCCAGGGCTCTGGAGCCTGTTGGCATAGGTACGTCCTGAGATGGTCTTCAATGCTGTTTCTACCCCATCTTCCAAATGCCATTAGTTCACTGGAGTGATTTCAGTTCCATTGGCAATGTTAATTCTCTGCCTGCACAAGCCAAAGGCCACTGAGGATGAGCTGGGTTTTGTTTATTACCTGACAAGACTCAAGATTGCTCTAAACTGACTGTGGTGTCTCCTTTCCATCTAATCATATCGGACATCTCCTCTCAGCTTAGCCCTCCAAGCTGAATGCCTCATCTATGATATGTGAATACAAGAAGAAAAAGCCATGCATGATTTAAAACTAGCTTCAGTAGTTTGCTGAAGGCTCTATGGAATCGTGCAGGTTAACTACTGGTGGATGAATGGCGGTATGAGGGATCTCAGGTTGTGCCTGAGCTAACGCTAGTTCCCAGCACAAACACAAAGGCCTGCTTTTCTTCCCCCACTTGATTAATTTGTTTACACCAGAGTTACTGATGGACTATCACCAGAATCACATCAGGCAGGTCTAGGCAGGTCCAAATCAATAGGGTCCTTCATTGCCACTATATCATAATTTTAATTGTCCCTTTCTATTACACTTAGCAATGAGACACCAGGCAAGACTGGACTCAAGAATAAACTTCCAAAGAGAGAGAGAGAATGTCCACTTCAAAAAGCGATACTGGAAAGAGCAGAACTGATTAGGACCTAGGTCTATATTGATGTGTGTGAGTATTTATGTTGTGAGACATGCTCTTTTTTCTGCACTAGAACGGAGACTTTGGAAGATGTCAGATGCACAGCATCCCAGTGTGTTTGAAGGGGGAGGACACACTGACAAGACGATCTAAAGTAGAAATAAGATCTACAGAATCAGAAAATGATGCTAATATTCTAGACTTTAATACTGGGCACCAATTTTAGATTTTAGTGTTGAGCCCTATTCTAGATATGAATATCAAACACTGAGTCTAGAGTTAAATATTAAACAATTCAGCATATGCATCTTCTGTGGTCACTATTCATCCTAGAATTTTTATGCGCTGTGTGTAAGTGGGTGGTATTTGTGTGTGGGAACCGATGTGAATGAGTGAGACAGGGTCTCTCATTAAATCTGAAGATAATCAATTCAGCTAGGCTGAATGACAAATGAGATTCAGGAATCTGCCCATTTCCACCCTTCACCCACCCAGCAAGTTATGGAGTTACAGGCATGAACCATTACTCCTGGCTTTTTACATGGGTTCTGGGGATCCAAACTCAGATTCTTGTGCCTGCACAATGGATCCAACTGAGCCTTTTCCTCAGGCTCAAGGGATTTAAAAACACAAATCTTTTAAAACGAGTCCTTCCTCTCTGAAGGTGTTTGTATCAATGGCTTGGCCTCCCATCTCCTTATGAGTACGACAGAAGACAAATGGCCTCCAAGTACCAGTCTTAACAAGGACTGGTCATGGGCCACGCCTCCAAGGAGAGGTGTGTCAAGCAGCAGTCAGAAGAGAGGTCTTTAATACCCTGTGAACACTTTTAATACATTACCACCTCTGGGAACCAGCTACTTCCCTTCCCACTTCAGAAAACATGTAATGGGGCTTTGTGTTTCAATTTAAAGTTCCTTACAAAACGGAAATCCTTTCCTTTATAAGTTTAAAAAAATAGCACAGAGGGAAAGACAAGGCAAGAGAGGAACGAATTAGGCAGTCTCTGAAGCACTACTGGCTCAACTGGAAACCGGCGACCAAAGCAAGCCCCATAATAGTGTAATGACCTTTAATGAGTGTCTTGGGAAACAATACAGTCCCGGCATAAAAGACAAAGGGCAAAACCCATCATGGTTCTGCTGACACTAATTCAAAATGATCTTCAGAACAACTAAAGAATGTAAGAGAAGTAATCTGACCTGCTCATCTGACCTCACTTTGATTCCAGGGCCCTTCTCCTGCCATTTCTAATTGTCAACCCCTCTCCATTTCACGTCTGCTCATATTTAATGAAAAGCCCACTCTCACCACTTCTCTTCAAGTCAATTCACTCTGTCAAATGGGCACCACCCAAACCACCACCCGTGTGGGGTGCCCGGAGATTGCTGTGGCACACTGCCAGGGGGATTCAGCAGAGACTGAAGGTTTCTTTTCCTTTTTTTTTTTTTTAATTGAAGAAGAACGACTGACATGGGCCTATAAAGGAGTTCAGCTTGGAATGGATTTTTCTAACTTATTATTAGTGGTCAAAGGTGAGTGGTCTCACACAGGGATGGATGAAACCTGCCTTTGTGTGATGAAGTGAAGACGGTGAAACAGAGAAGGCAAGCCACCACCAGAGCTGTCAATACCACTTAAGGCCTGAATCTTGTTGTCTTACACAGTGGGGGTTGTCCATGGAGGCAAGAAGGATGACAATACTATGAACAGGGTATTTCTGAGAGGATGGGACATTCTTACCCCAAGATTTTCTTTTCCTGGCCTCCATCAATGCCAGGATTAAATTGCAGAGCTGAGAAATCCCTCCAATTATGGTTTTTCTTGAATAAAATGGAAATTGCACATACTGGACACCATGAGCCTCACACGTGGGGACATAGATTTTTTTTACTGTGATTGGAGCAGATGATCAGTGAGCCAAGACATGACCACAGGACCCTAGTGCAGAGCCAAACTGGCTCCTTATTTTTTCCACCAAATCCATGGCCAAGCTTTTGGAGTGTGGTGGTTACTTGAGAAAAGAAGAAATTGTGCCTTAGGCTGAAGAGGGTTGGCAGTCACATCTATCACTGCCAATCAAAAGGATCTGGCCCAATGGTGCCACCATTGCTTACCCCATTGTCTTCCTAACCGGCTCTTCTTTGAACCTGATGTCTTGCTGCACATCAAAGACAAATTCTTTGTGTAGTTGTGACCTGCGTTACCTATGCTACGTAGCACATGAGTGAAAAAAAATTCTTGCAGGCAAAACAAAGGGATATCCATACGAACAAATTAAAAACAAAGCAAAATGAAATAAGTCAAAAGTTCTTTCTAAAATTTTAGGCCAAGGTGCTTGGCACAGTCTATAATGCCTCTCAATACAATACCATAAGTATCACTTTAAGTCAGTCTTGTCCCTTAGCACTTGTCAGGTAGCAGTGGATGGTGAATCAGAGGGGATAGCTCAATGGTCTCAGACCAGGCCTCTGAATGCCTTCAATACACAACTCCACACAGCTTACAGACTTCAAAAGTAAACCGCAGCTTTGGATGACAGCACTGTTACGTCTTAGCACTCTCTTTATCCAGTGAAGTTGGGGCTCTCACACTGGATATCCACAAGTGCACTGTGTTGGGACTGTCTTCAACAGGGACAGTGATGGCTTGACCATGTGCATCTGTCATGGGAACAAATGCTCATAAAGTAAATGTCCCTCTTCTTCCTTGTGGTGGGTGTGAACCACCACAAGGAGAAGAAAAGTTTGGCCTCTTTTGATTATTTAGGAGAAGAGTGGGTGGGTAAGCTAGCAATGCAGCACCAAGTACTGTGTTGGGTTCTTTAAAGAGAAATGGATGAAACACAGAGAGAATCATCATCTCCCAGTTCCTATACTACCACCAATAGGAATGCAGGGCCATGGTCAGATTTCAAGAGCATCCAAATTCTCATGCAGAATTCAAGCTCTCCTGCCAGTGGTCAAGGATGTACACCCCTAGCATCTCTAATCAATGCATTGTGTAACATCACCTACAAACTGTGCCAGCCAAATGAAAACAGGGTTGGGGGTGATCTCTAGAATTTGGTTCATCAGACTCAGCCTGTATAAAGGCTACAGCCTCTTTCACAGGGACGAGCTTGGTAGTGACAAAGGTCTGAGCTAAAAAGCGAAGGAGATCCTAGAGATTCAGGATTTAAATCTTTCTTATTTAGATTCATGACTGCTACACAATACCCTGGTTAAGTGGGACTAAATTGTTGGGAAAATTTAAGACATTAATGAGTGTCTCAGGAGTCTCCTTTGAGCGAGCTAACTTTTTAAAAGGAAGCACTAGAAACTGCCAGTGTATGGAGGGTGGCAAATTCAAAAATAAATATTCACTTCAAGAACTGAGGATAACATCTGGTTAGAAATACACAGAACAAAATTGTGTGTGTGTGTGTGTGTGTGTGTGTGTGTGTGTGTGTGTGCGCGCGCAAGCTCTTTTTCTCCATCATTTTGATCTAACCCCCACTTAATAGTCATGTCTAAAATCTAAGGCCCACATTTTCATATATATCCTCTATTAAAATAGTACTTGCTATCCTGTCACTTTACTTTCCATTTTCACTTACTAAGACAAGAGAGAGGAAGGCTATCAGCAGGCTGTCACATGCCAGTCTTGTTCACTATCACAAGAAGCACAAAAAAAAGGTCAGAAGGGAAAGCCTTCTCATCATATACACAGAGACACAGGCAACATGTCATCACATACAAGACCACATTAGGAAGACAACACTAGCTCAGAGGACTCACAAGACAACAGGGCACAACACAGGACAGGGCTGATATCACAGACGAGCACAGACATGGAACTGTGTGTGTTGAGGTTAAACTTACAGGCACGGAAACTGGCGGAGCAATCATTAACAGAGACAGAAGAAAGCGGGAAGGCTCTCTCAAGGGTGTCCACGTTACCACGCACACGGCCTGACATGCACGAGCAGTCACGCTCAGAACGTCCGCAATCAAAACAACATGCTCGTCTCATTCTCTTGTAGATGGACATCTTGGCTATAACCATGTGGTTGGATGGGAGGAGAGGAAGAGCGGCAGTTAATGGCAAGGTCACATACAGCAAGGCAGCTGGAAGGGCACTGGAGGATTGAACACAGGTCTTAGTTCATGTGAACAGTCTTGACCCAGAAAAAAAAATACAGTGACTGTTGGTGACAGTTTGGTTGTACATCAAAAAAGCAGTGAAAATATAAATTGCCTTTATCGTCCCCCAAGGTTGTTGCATATTATTTTTGTCCCCTCGATGGAGCGGTGACCACAGGAAGAAGGCATGGCTGAACACATCCCGGTTCTTGGATAAAAAAAAGAGCAAATTACAGACAGCAAAAATGTAACCACCATTCTCCCCCTGGCACAATTAATGCAGGAGGGCAAAAGAGACACACAGCCAATCAGTTAAATGAATTGCTTATTTGGTAAAATAAATGGTTTTTGCAGAATGCAAACATTTCTAATATGTAGGCTTTCTCATTTCCATCCATTTCTTGGCATTAAGCAGAGCCTGGGACAAGCTTCCATCAAATTAAATGTGAAACGATTACGTGTTAATATCAGATCTGAGGATGCTTTTGCTGAACTTCCAGGGAGTGAGTTTACATGAGAGCTACAGGAATTTAAATTCACTCTTGACAGAACAAATAACCAAATCTGTCCATATAAGAAATGCTGCTACTCAAGGCTAACGCTGCATATTTGACATTAAAGGAAGTTCACAAATAAAAAAAAATCACCCAAAGCAATATGAGATGTTGGTCTCTGGAATGCTTGTAGCTACTCGTGGGTGGATTTTTTGTGAGTTCTGCCTTTTTCTCCCTACTCACCAGAATACCAGAAGACAATTAGGTGGCTTAATCATATTTTTTTCTTATGTAGAAAATATTTCCCAGAATATATTAAAAACAACAAAACATGAAATATTACTGGCATTTTCAGGCACCCTCAATAGTTCTTTTAAGGCTAGCATAGTGTGAAGGTTCGGTATTGACCCAGGAGTCATCTGTAAATACAGACCTGCAATGCTTCTTAATGTCCCCATCCTTTCCAATGCCTTTCCCTTTTACCCTTTTGGCCAATTTATATTTCAGTACAAGAGAAGCCTTTTGTACCTCATTTTGATGCTACAACAGGCAAACATGTTTGTTTCTCACTTCTGCTCCTCTCACAGGGTAGAAGAACTCATATCTTTCAAGCATCAAACACTGAACACACCCACCTGCTCCATGTGGGAAGCCACATTATTCCTCTTTATTTTCCTTTGTAGAGGATGGTTGCCCTCCTCCTTTAAAATATAGCTGTGGTTTTGCCCTCTTTGAATGTTACAGTCACCAGGAATGGGTTTAAATCTCTCAAATGGGTCAAGCCCTGTACTAAGACCTTCATGACTTGCCATACAGTGGGCTTGTCAAGCAAGGGGAACATCATGACTGTGAAGAGCAGGCACTGGGGAGGATGAATGAGAGACCTTCAGCATCATCTCCATTCCTGTGAATAGGCTCACGTTCCCAGTGGCATGGTCCTTTAGCATCCTAACTAAGGCCGCTGTTTGGATTAACATGCAATCCCAGCCCTGTTCAACTCTCAGTATATCATTCTTCTGAGTATAGCTTTTACCAAAAAAACTAAGAATCTGCTACAGCGTTTGAGTCAGAGAAAGTCACAAGGCGTTCTGCCAATGTCCAGGCCACCTTGATCAACAGTAGCGGCTGAAGTCAAGAAAGGGAGAAGAGAGAGTCTTCAATGGAAGACATGGAAATAAATTTAGCTGAACTGTATCCAGATCTGGTATACAACCTGGAAAATGAGTCTCCTGTTTTTTTTTTTTTTCTATCTTAACGCTTTAACAGGACATACTGACCTGTTATTTGCTAAGAAGAGAACAATGAAGGTGATTTCTTTTTTGCTTTTTGTTTGTTGTTTCACTGTAGATAAATTATTTTGAAAGTTGCTTTTTATCTTTCTTTTTTAAAAAAATCAAATACTGTAGCAGAGAATCCCATCAAACTCAGAAATGCTATGTTTCTCATTAGCAACAGTCCCTGGTTTTCATTTTCATACTGCCATTTCGGGTTCATGCATGGTAATAGAATGTGACACATTTATGGGGAAAGAAAGTTCATATATATAAACGGGCAGTGAAGAACTCCCATTTCCAAAGTTTTCAGGAGGGAGAACAACATCAAACCAGTGACTCTCAGGGACTGTTTGAAACTGTCACGGTTGGCTGTCCTGGAGACCATGCATTGTTGTTAAATTTCATATTGTTAGCATGCAGTAACAGGCTGCAACTGGTAACCAAAGCAGCAGAAACCCATTTGCTATAAGAAGATTAACTGTTAATTATAAGCAGTCACATTCCAAAGCGGCATATGCATAAAACAGAAAACATGCTATTACTCGTCACTCCTTCCCAGTCATTTTACACTTACACTAAATGCAAAAGAGAAATCTCAAAGGACAAAGAGCACACGCTTGTGCGTACACACACACACACACACACACACACACACACACACACACACCCAGAATGGTCAACATGAGCTCAGAGACAAGACACAAACAGTTAAAAATGATTGAGCTCCACATATTAACAAACCTTCATGAACCACAATGTCTAGAGTGAAGATGACTAGTTAAGAGTATGCCTCCTTCCCCGCCACCCCAGTCAGGTGTGTTGTCACCTATGTACTTCAAGGTCCACTTTCTAAGAAGGAAAGGATGATTCTAACCTTGCATCTGATGGAATGATCCATCAGGCCTGAGAGATATATGTATAGTTATGAGATTCCTTCTGGTCCATTATTACTCATGGCCATGGTCAGCAATGAAGACCTGAAGATTTGCCTCCTATGTGGTAGGTGTTCCAGAAAATGTGGGCATTCTATTCTTGGGTTATAAACTAAAGTTATGTAGGCACCTTCATTGTGGTTTCAATAAATTACAGATTCTCAGAACCTTCTTGGTAACTGTTTTCTTTTCTACAGCCAACTTGGGTTAGAGGATGCATTTCATGTATCAGAGAGGCACTTATCACCCCCAAGGTTGAGTTTCACAGACCTACTTGGAACATTTCAGTATCTATTTAAAACACAAGTGTCTCATCTACTCCTGATCCTAAAACATGTCTCCTCTCCATTGGTGTGTGCTGAGTTCCTTTCTTAGTAACCATTCACGGCTCTTCCTAGTCACCAGAGGAAAGGCTTTACGTAGATTGTGAAGGCAAAGCAAAGTAGGTCTATGTAGACATCTAGTGGATGGCTGTAGGAGTGCAGCTTGTTAATGACGTGAAGTAGAACTTGCTGGTTCATCTCTCCTCAAAGGAAAAGAGGGGCTTGTGGTCGCTAAGAATTGAAATGTGTGTGGTACCACTTCAATTCAATAGCTGCCTCCAATCTATGGATGTTTTGGGGCAGTAAGGACAAATAGTTGAAAGGTCCAAAGAGAGGATTCTGGGGGCAGTCAATAGTGGTAACTTGCAAGCATACTGTTTTCATACTGCACTGGCCCATAGGTTCTCCACATAGCTTTGCTGCAGCTTCCCAAAAGGAACTAGACAAGAGTGTGTCTCTGCAGGTACAGATGCTGCAGCTACTTGTCACTTTGTCTTAGGGCTCTTGGAACAACTTTATATTCTATGAATTGCCCCCATAGTCCAACTTAACTCTGGGAAAGAAGAAATATAAGTCACCTGGGACTTCGTTTTCTCTTTGACCCACAAAATGTTCTTGTTCTTGGACCAGTACCAATGATTTGAAGAGGTCATGTCAGTGCCAAGAATCTGATTTTGAGTCTTACCATACTCTAAAAAAAAATACGTTTGAACAGTTTCATCACTTCAGAAGAAAGCTTTTATGTGCTTTTCTTCACCACAATAAAATGGATATTCATCCAATGTTTCCATTATGACTTCCTAGTAGTATTTATAGAGATAAAATAGAAGTACTTCCCTAATGGACATCATCAAAGCTATCTGTTTACTCTTTGTTTAAAATAGAAAGCTTTCTCAGACACACACTTGTACAACTTTTCCTCTATTTTCAAAGGTCGTGATGGTGAGAAATTAAACCTGCTGCAGATGTAGCATTCTCACTTTTCCTTCCTTGAGACACACTTAATAGGATCAGGTGCCAGGCCTCAGGTCCTATGCTGGTTGGCCCTTCTGAGCCAAGTCTGGAATGGAAGGAAGGGTTGCAGACCATTCTGTCTGCAGGACCATCTGCCTCCGGCATCAGCAACCAAATGGCCAGCCACATTGCAAATGCAGAATCTTAATTTTGGGGGTGGATTGGAAGGGAGAGGGAAAGCAACATTGCCCAGGAGTCCCAGGTGGAGGTTTCCAGCTGCTGGAGGGAAAATAATTTAGGTTTCCAAAGGAGCAAATGTAAGAGGAGACTAGTGCAAAAGAAAAAAGAATGCCATTAAATCAAGGCACACTTCTCAGATCATAGCCTTACTTTTCAAATCAGCCCAAGGAAGGGAAGAATTGTTTCTTAACATGAATTTACAGCTATTCTTCAAGGGCTTGGTAGCAACCAAAATTATAAGCAAACCCTCTGCAGAAGAAAAACCCACTGAGTTTTTTCTTTGAGGTATATTGTTGGATGTAATGCTAAGAAGCAGAAGTTCTTTCACATCCTATAAAAAAGAAATGATGTCTTCACTTAACACAGTTGCTCCTGTTACCTTCTGGAGAAGAAGCATGGTCTTACATGTGGCTTTCCATGATCAGGAAGGAGAGAAGGACAAAGATGAAAGTCAGCAACCTGGAGCACACACCCAGCTAGTTGATCTGGCTCACACCAATTGTTCTGGAGCTGGGAAAGGTGGGAGACTTTGCCACTGGAGCTGTTTGTTGATTGACATTGTGTAGCCCTCTAGTTCTCAAAGAGTGCTAGAGTATGAAAGTCTGGGGGTGTAGAAGTGATGCTCCCGCATACAATGCACAGAGCCCATTTGAGCAGAACTGTGAGTAGCATTGAAGAAGAACATTGTTTCATTTTGGCATTACATAGATCATCAGAAGATTTCCACACAATGGAGACTACCAGAACTCAAGTGGTCAACATGCTTCTTCTTCTGCAAAGGAATATGAGAGGTCCAGGTGCTGAAACATCTCCACATTCCAGAGCCAATGAACTCAATGAGTTGTAGACTGGGTCTCCTTTCTGTTTCCATAGAGTCTTATATCTGTAAGTCAAGACCCAATGCTAATGGCTAGTGCCCATGAGAGAACTATAGCTGTAGGTCACACATGGAAATACTGATCTTAAAAACTACATCTGGTTGGATAAAGGGGATCCTATGCCTTGAGTAAGTTAGAAAGGTCTAAAAACTTATATTGACTTGTTGAGACTCCTACATGGCTCATTCATGAAAAGAAATATTCTCCCTCAGTTAACCAACATTTGTTTTCCTGAAATAAGCACATGGATCCTCCAGGATGCTTAACATTCGCAGAAGAACTGTGGAGGAACTACTGGGTGTTGACTAAAGGAGAAGTTGTACGTAAAAGCAAGGAAACTTTACAGACTGTTGGAAATAATTACCACTTGTCTCCAGGAAGACAGATACTTACAGTCCCAAAGGAGTACTCAATAAAATCTCCAGCAAGCACCTTCTTGTACAGAGAGGCATATATAATATGATCAATGCATTCCTCTCTCTGTGGAATCTATCTATGATTATATATAAAAATACACATTTTTACATATAAACTACTAGTGCATATCATATATATCACAACTCAGGAATATATATGTAGCCTATGATTTTTTCCTTCAAGAGAGGAATTCAAACTCCATATCAGGGGAAAACAAGTATAGTTTTATCAAAGGCAAGCATGACCATGACCCCCGATGGACAAAGCATCTAAAGCTAGAGTGGTAATTACTCCAGCCTAATCTGTGTCCCTTAAAAGTCCTGAGGCAAGGCCTTCAAGAGAAACACACTATTGTCAAGGTCTTATTTTCAAATAGAAAAATAAGACCATGTCCAGAGCCTGCTGAAGGCTGGGGGATGGGTGGATGCATGGAGAGTGGGCTCTGGGCGCTCTCCAGCTCCTGGCTACTCTACAAGGACTGTGTTGGGGCATAAGCGAGTTGGGGCATGATGTAACTGCTACATGCAACACAAATACCAAAAGTAAAATGAAACTGAAATTGTACAAAAAAAAGTATCTCATCTAGAGAAAGACCAGAACTAGACTCTGGGCTGCTGGGAACCCATTTTACTCACAATAGATCACTACCAGGGTGCAGTTAAAATAGAGTAGGGGCCGTATTCCAAGGCAGCAAAGAGGAAACAAGATAAATCAAAGATATGTCAATGATTAGAAATTAAAGAAAATTCTTTCACACACATCAATCTAGACATGATTTGTCCCTTAGGAGACAACCCTTGGCAACTTTTCAGAGGCTGGGAGAGAAAGTGTAAATCATTAGACCAGGTTTGTGACACAGAAAAAGAAAATGAGTAAATGGTAGTCTGAGAACTTGCTCCTTGGCTAGTCATCTGAATTGGACTTGCTTCCTGGATGGATGGAGAGCTATGAAGAGATGGAAAGAAATGCAGACGTTAAACTATACTACCACCATGGGATCTCCACAAATGGAATGTCCATATTCCATTATTCTCCGATAGAGGACACGAAACATTGAAGGTTACTGAATGAAAAGGAATGAAGAGGGTAGGGAAGGATTAGGAAGGAGAAACTGGGTAGGGACAGGAGGGCTAGGAAATATATAGAAAGTCTGGGGATTGCCATTAGCTCTGTTCTCATGTAGTTGTATCATTTCAAAGTAAATTATCAATTGTTGCACTAACAGGTTTGGATAAATAATAGAGCAGGTCAACTGTCCTTTTCAATTTTGAACAACAAGATGTGCTGGCCAGTGGCTTAGCACTGTCCTCCGTCCAACCATATCCTATTAACAATGCTAAGTATTTCTCATGAAAATTTCTTCACAGCCAAGAATATCTTCTCCAATTCCTTCAATGGTTGATCTTCATGAGAAGGTTTATATTCAAGTATTCATTTTATTTTAATCCTCCCATACATATCTGCATCCTGACCTCCAGGCTATGGCCTTTTAATTGGGAATAACAACATTTGGACAATTCTGATTATTATCAAATATTAACCACATAGCCCATGGCCTTGTCTCACTTAAAAGTAGCTTGGCAGAGACAATCCTTTTGCAGCAATTGTGTTGTACATGATGGGAGATTATACATTTCACTAGCTTAGCTTACTGTATTGGAAATGAAGGGGATAAAGTTATGTAAATAATAGTGTGCTTTTCACAAAAGGGTGGAGTTAACAGTTCACTGTTGTTTGCTTGCTCAGAACAAAGATGGAAAAAATACCTTGGATGTTAAATCTGTATTTGTAAGGATTTTAAAAGGGGTATGCCATAATGGACTATGGTGTCCTATGAGAGACATTCTAATTTCAGAGTGAATCAGAGATGGTCTCTCCTCATCTTGCCTTTTCCATCTGTCTTCCAGAGAATCCTCTATTCAGACACAAAGCAGATCTTTTAAACTGAGGCCTGATGATGTCATCTTCTTCCCTGAAATCACTTGGTGGCAGCTTTTGTGCACAGGCCTAAAATCCAGCTTCTCATCACCATCTCTGTCTTCTTGTGTGATCTCACTCTGTACCTCTCTCAATGTCACAGACAATAGCAGTCTTCCATCCATCCTCTAAATACTACTAATGGCTTCCTGCTTTTGAGTCTAGCCCCTTGCTCTTCTTCTCACCCATGTCTCACCTCCACTATTACCTCCCAAAGGACCAGTCAAGCTATGAAGTAGTAGCCTTCCTATAAAAGCCCTCACATCCTCAGATGGTTGTTCTCTCTTCTTAGCATGTAGGTCTCTATGAATTCATATATTTCTTAACATGGGTTTGTCTTAACATGATATGGGTTTGTCTCTATTATCTAGATGGAAAGTTTGGAAGGGATCTCATTCACCATTCCATCATTAGCTCCGAGAAGAGACTGTGTATGAAGAGGTTACACAAAGGCACACGAATGCCTGCTCAGTTAGTACACCAGAGTCTTGCCACTTTCGTAAGAAACCCAATGGATGAGTTTGCTTAGAAAAACACCCTCGCATGGATCATTGGCCTCAACATTCTCCACTATGAGAGTTTCCTTACGGAGTTCACTGTCTTGTTCTGGCGCTGTCTCTTGTCTACCTCAAGACGGCCTGTTCCTTGTTCCTTCTGATGGAAAGGATTCTGAAGGTGCCTTCTGTGTTTCTAAGTTCCTGGGGCACCTGATGTGAAGGGAGAGTGAGGCCTGGAGCCTGGGGGTTGACAAGATGGTGACCTTTCTTCTTCATCTTCAACTCATTCAGATGCTCTTCCTTATGAGTTGAGAGAACCAGAAATCCTTCTGGGTATGATGACAGTTTGGGAATGCAAACCATGGATGCTAAAAGGCTGGCTTAAGCTAGCGTGTGGGAATGAGTCTGAGAAGACTTCTACAGAAATGTCTCTAGACCAAGAATTGCCCACTGGTGTTTCCCAGAAGACCAACTTATTAATGTTTAGGCAATACCATCATATGTCTTACTGTTTAACATATCCTCTTCATGTGGCACAATGACAAGACCTTTCAGTGGCATACCCCAGAATGGTGGCCTTTGACTGATTTCTGCTTGTAAAAATATATTTTATAAGGGTGATGTTCCAAAACTCTCTTCCATTTCATTTAACCCAAGGTATCCTTACCCCTGTAAGAAAGATCAGGACACTGAGACCACAGCAACCAGATAGGCCTCAGGGGACTTCAATCTATGAATGCTGGCTGTATGATCATCAGCATCTTCATCCTTTCACTAATTAAGGAAGGGTCATTGTTCTTTATATGGACTAACTATACCCCTGCTAGTTATATAGGGTTATGGTGAAGATCAAAGCAAACATAATGAGGGGCTTCTAGAGCCTCAAGTCACCACCAAAGGGAAGGTAGCATTGCATTCATTTTTCTCTGGGATTCAGAACAATCTCTACTGGGATGTGTGATCAAATTGCTGCAAAAGGTTGGGCCTCCCCAAAGCAAAGACTGCTTCACAGCATGGCATCAGTGGAACTCATAAGCCAGTGTTCCCGAGTCATCATTGAGGGTCCATAGGAAAGCTGGGGTAGAAGACAACTGAGACAGATTATGCTGGAAGCTTCTGAGCCCAGTCCAGGTCAGCCCATAAAGCAATGTGATAGGGGATGGTCTATAGACACTGGTAGCCTTGTTAGGAGCAGTGGTTTTGTCCTGTGGTGATCTCAGTCTGAACCTACAAGAATTCAAATTTAAAAGCTGTCTATTCCTTTTATTTTGAGACTGGGTTCTGAAACTTGCTTTCCTTGTAGGACTATGTATAGTTGTTTTAGTTGGGGACCCCCCAAAACCTACTAGAAATCATGACATAAAAAACATTCTGTCCTCTAAAGCTGTAAATATCCTTCATTTTTTCCATGATATTTAACTTTCTAGAGAAGTGGACAGTAGGTACTAGCCTTCCACCTGGGCAATGACTGTGAATTTTTTCATCTTCTACTCTAAGCAAGGACCAGGATTTGTTTCATGTTTCTTTAGTGGTTGGGTAAAATCTAAACCTATTCAAGAGAACACTTGGTACTTAATGTTTCTCTAATAGGAAAAGAATAAGGGAAAGGAATTTGGGGACAAGGAAGGGGAGCAGGAGGGAGGAGAGAAAGAAACACTACTTACGCCTCCTGCAGCCACATTTTTTAATTCTTTTGGGATCTGTGACGTCATCATGACAGGCCTTGCAGTAAAAAAATGCCCTGGAGAAAGAGAATGGAAAAACTGACACATCTCATAATCCACTCAAGTAAAATGAGTACCACGTTTCCCCCGAGGTGGTGCCAAATTAATGAAACATGCCAGCCCTAATTTCCTTTCATCTTTTGAAAAGTTTAGACGTTTGCAGACAGAAATGTTTGTTGTAAGACCATTCATTTCAAACCCAGGATTCTGTGATTGGAGTGGGTGCTTCTTTTTATAAACTTTTATTTGCAAAGAAACAGGGAGAAAGGTCTTGCCCGTGTGACACACTAGGCTTGTGACTGTCTTTTCTGAGAACAGCACTGAGTACTGGTGCTTGAAACACACAGGCAATAGCCCCGAGTCTTTGGAGTGTGATTTAAGAACAATTCTGAAATCCCCACAGTCTACTTGAATATATATTAAAGGGGAGCAAGGAAGACAGTTCTCGGTCAAAACTAAATATTACCTTTGACACTTTGAAAGAACCATTCCTCATTAGCCAGAGAGGGGACTGAGAGTCACCGGAGAGAGGAGGGACTACAGAGACAGTGAGTCCAGTGGTTCTGGTCAAACTGTTCTGGGATTCAAAGCCCATTTCCCCCCAAAGCTGGCTAGATCCATTCACATTATGTCCTGCTCCAAGCACATATAATGAATAAAAGTTTTGCTCTTTCTATGGAGTAAGACTCAATGGGATGAGGAGGGGAATGGTGGGTAGAATGATCCCCAAGAAGGAGCAATCAACAACAATAACAAAGTCCTCTAATTTGACTTAAGTATCAATCTGGGACTCCAAAGTGAACTGGCTGTGCCAAAGCTTCTTTTGATGAGAAGAACTAAGATGATTTGAGAACTACTTAACATCAGTATCCAGAGGAATAACATGGGACCTGGGTGGGTGGGCTGTGCCCTTCCAACTTGAGTTGGTGCGAAAGCATGGTCATACAACCACTCAGCTATGAACTTTCAACACAGGACTCACTGAGTGACAGGAGATACTCAACTGTTGGTAAGTATATTATACAGGCTTTGTGTTAGATGGTTCTGCCAAACTGTGAGTTAATGCTAAATGCTTGAACACATTAGGTAGTCTGGATTAAAGTATGATGCTTGGTAGGTTATATGCATTTTTAGCTTAAGTTCTTTTCAAACTATGATGGTTTTTTGGGATGTAACTCCGTCACAAGTAGAGAAGCATCTGTACTGGGGAGGCCATAAAATTTACTGGAATAACCTTACAAGTCTCTGGATCCAGAAACTAACAATATCCTGGGCTTAATGCCTTTGCCACTCCCAACATGAAATTGAGTGCCAAGAATAAACAGGGTCATTTCTCGATGGAGGCTAAAGAAATAAACACAATTCCTAGGTTCTTTTATGTTTTCCACAGGGTTTACATTTCTACATCAAGTCCAATGCTCTTTCAATTCAAGGGGCTCCTTCATGATTTCTTTACACATCAGATGTCATTCTCTTTTCAAAAACGGGAAAAGCAGCTGTTTGCTCTGCCTGGCACTGTAGGTAGAAAATCAATAGATGGTGGTCTGCCTTGAAACAAGAGGGACAAGAAGAGGCATCCACTTACTTGGGGCAAGGAAGTTCCCACCCACTTCCTCCAGCCATTTTAGTCCCCCTTAGATGCTCTCATGGGAAATAATAACACAGCAGTAACAACAGCCAACAAACTATAGGCCTAGTACTGCTCTATGAACTTAAAAAGCACTAACACATTTGATCCCTTTGAAGGAAGCTTGATTACATATAAGGAAACTGAGACAGGGAGAGATCAAGTGGCCTTTGCCTGTTCAAGGTCATACTGCTAGGTGACAGAGTCTAGATTCAAGACCAGGAGTCAAAAGTCTTAAATATGCTTCTCTAAAGAGATGGAGATATGAAGTATAATAATATAAAGCTAAATATAATATATAAATATAAAATGAAAGCCTAGTTCTTTATAATAAATGTTTTATTTGTGATATACAATGTGATGTTTTGAAATATGCATATGTGATATATATATATATATATATATATATATATATATATATACAAGCAGACCAACACATGTTCTTTCATCCATTTGTATGTGGAGTGAAAAAATTTGAAACCTACCCTAGAAGAAAAATTGCTAAAAGAGATTTTCATAAATACAATACACTGTTTTAAAAATATCAACCTATGGGCCAGGGAGATGGCACAGCCAGTAACAGCACCTGCTGCGGAACCTGACAGCTAGAGTTTGATCCCTGGGTCCAATGTGGTAGAAGAAGAAAAGTTGTTCTCTCACCTTCCTTCAAGGTGAATAAATTCTCACATCTATTCAACACAAATAAATAAGTAAATGCAAAAATAACCTATTTTAAATTAACTACGGTCATGGCATTTTGCAATGATCTCTTGCATTTATTCTCTTGTTTAAGTTAATAGTTTACGTCCCCTCCCCTGGCCCTCATTCTTCAGATATCCTTACTTCAGCTTCTAGTAACTACCATTCTACCCTGTGCTTCCATGGGCTTGACTTTTTAAGGCTTCACATGTAAGTGAGTTGTGCAGTGTTTGTCCTTGTGAGCCTGATTTCTTTCACTTAGCCAAATAGGTGCTATGGTCAGACAGATGTGGTTAATGAGGGAGATGAGCCAAGGGCTAAAGGTGTCCAGGGTCACATGAAGATATCTGCTCCAGATGAAGGAGGCAGATTCTTTAAACCACAAGTTAACGTTTGCTAAGTGATAGTTTTTTGGGAGCTACTCCACCCAGATAAGCCCCCATCACATTCTCTTGGCAATGCCCTTCATTACAACTATGCATTTGACCCTGCAAACTCAGTGATCCTGGGAACAAGACTCCATTGGTCTGAGTTTAAATCCCTGGCTATGGATTCAATTGGGCCTCTCACCAGTCCAGGTGTCTTCACTATTTTCCTGATGCTTGTCTTCTCACTCCAAAGCAACTACCACCCCCTTCTTTCCCAGCTCCCACACCAACAGAAAGACCTCCTCCACATCCTGCTACACTGGCCTTAGGGTCTCCTTGTCCTGTGTTGATCTGTGTAACTGGATAAAGGCAAAAGTCAAGGTAACTGGAGGTGGGATAGGATGAATTTGTTCTCTGGTGGGTTGTGGGATGTCGGGACCCAAAAATTATCGATTATAAAGTTTTGGGGTTCAAACCTCCGCTGTTTCCAGGAGCCTGAATCTCCCACTGTCTTCCAGATGCCTACTAAATTACCTCTGGATGGCTTGGCCTCAGTGGAGAATGTCTTCTACTTTGCATAACAACAGACCTAGGCCCTGGGTGTGCCCTCACCTGTTCTGAGGGTTTTGTTTATGTGCCTAGGGACTGTTTAGGTGCCTCTTGGATAAAATGAATTACTTGATATCAGCTTTATACATGATAGTAGGGGCCTTCTACTGTCACACCCACTGTTGGAAAGCTATTTAAGAGGATGCATGAATAAACCGGAGACTCCAGTTTCCAGCATGGACTGAGAACCCTCCTGAAATGTCAAGATGTCTGTGTCATGTCGCCAGGAGTTTCCCGGTCCAGCACTTCCTGACTCAGGGATGGACCTGGGGCCATTCAGCTGGCTCCGATCACAGCCCCAAAGACATCAGTCCGGAATAGATAGCCTCTGTAGCTTGGGACTGATACAAGCTGGGGCCTGGCAGCAACAGAAACATTTCTCCACTGGAGGACAAAGCTCCCACTGAGCAATCACCACTCCTATATACCATGCCCTCTTCTCCACCAAGTTTTCACCTTCTTACCCGGGGTCCCTGCAGTTTCAGGCTAAAAGTAGCTCTTACCTGCAGCTGCCTATAGGAGGCTTTGCCATCTTTCACTAATTTTAACCATCTTACTGTCCACCCATTTATCCGATCTTCCTCTATAAAATTTTGCTCTTATTTCCTACTTAGGTGGATCATTTGTTCCCTGCCAGGAACCCCCTATTAATGTGGCCCCATATTTATATCTTCAGCTCTCTTTTTCCCAGAACTCCAGACTCTTAGATCTACCTGACTTTATGAAGACTTCATGGTATATTTAGGAGCAAGCTCCCATTAACCATGGCCCAGACAGAATTCCTTAGTTCCTACCACCCCATCTTCCTCTAGTTTTCCTCATCTCAGCAAGAGATGGCCATCTTCATTGCCCTCACTGTTCATTGCCCCAAGCCTAGGCCTCAGCCTTGATTCCTCCTCCTTTCTCACTTCTATGACTGCACATTACAGGTTCTCCAGAGTAGTTCAAATGCAAGCCACATACTTCCTGAACAAGCTTCTGGCTTCTTCCTACACTATTTGACAGTCTCTGGATATCATGCCTCCTCTCCTGATGCATCACAGGCTAGGAGATTGATCTTTGAGAATATAGTTCTGATCACATCTCGACTGTAATCAAAGAATCAATGTGTTTCAATCTATAACAAAACCTTTCTCTTTGTAAGTGTCTGAAGAGCCAGATGCAGCCTTTGCTCTAATCTCTCCTCATTCCTATCCTTTGGTACTCTCCCAGCCATACTGTGTTTTATTGTCTAAACACAGTGTGTTAAACACAATGAACTTCATTATCTTCCTTTCCCATCTGATCTTTGCATGAAAGGCTCTTTGCCTTCCTATCTATTTCTGTTTGGATGTCACCTCCTTGGAAGAACAGCTTTTACTGACACCAATTGAAATCCTTCCTTCTTTTATTTTGAATTTTTTAAGAAACTGAAATTCTCTCTTCTACAGAATGTGACCTCAGGAAAGCAGATTGGCTCTCCAGAGCCTCCCAAATATTAATTAATATGCAGATATTTGATGAATGGATGAATGAATGGATTTGAGAACGCTTCCCAGTTTTGGGAATTCCATGTTTAGAGGAGAAACCAGAAGTAGAGTTTTTAATATAACAGCAAACAACATATTTTAACTTGACAACTAATCTATTATGTTTAATTATGATTCAAACAAAGTATGTATCTACTAAAGAAAGGGAAAGAGCCCCTGGACTGTGCTCCAGCATTATTTTAAAGGGGGATTATTTAGGGGAATCAAAAAAATTATGACCAAGCACCTATCCCACAGTAAACTCTTAATAAGAGTAGATGGGTTCACTCCTCTTTGTCTAAGTCTTCACCTCAAGTTTCTATGACACAGAACCCACTAACTTCTCTTATTGCATGTTGTTTTGCTCTGTTTTTTGTTTGTTTTGCTTTGCTTTTTGGCAGCCACAGCAGAGGGTGAAAACACAATAAGAGATCATGATCATCGTCACCTACTTTTCCATGTCCTTTCTGTAGTTTTCTGCACTCTTCACCTTTTTGAAACCCCCCTAACTGACAGCATTTCCTCTAACACATCACATACAGTGGGAAATTACAGGCTGGAGCTGGAGCTAGTGGTGTCAGCATGTATTTGTGAATACCATAAAGCATGGAAATGAGACATATTACATTCCCTAATATAGGAGGTAATTTGTTTCCTGGACTGCCTGGTATCTGTGACATTCATTAGTGAGAGATGCAGTAGGAAATAGAATTACATAAATAGGAGCTTAGGTTGAATTTGCTATCTGGGATGTGTGCATGATGTACGGTGGTTGTGATTCATCCCACCATGCTTAGAGCTAAGGTTCTGACTTAAGCTTCTATGTCACATACATCTAGTCCTAGTGAACTTCTGTCTCAGCATATTTTACCCATGAACCAGATAGAGATATATTTCTCTCGAACGGTTTAAGACTGTCAATCATTCTCCAATTTTCAGAAATAAACATATTGGAGACATCAATTAAAAAACGAAAACAAAAACTCAACCCCAAGGGTTCTTTTCCCTGGAAGCTTTTTAAAATAGTCTAATAACTTGTTTAAAGTCCTGCTTGCTAGAGTTGAGTGGGTAGAAAGAAAATCCTAAACCTGGCTTTGTCAAAAAAAATTGTTCTATACTAGCATATCAAGACTTTGCAAATATACCCTGTTATTTCTCAGTGTGACTTTGCCCAAGTCGGTCAACAAAGTCATGCTTCAGTTCCCTCCTAGACAAATTAGGAACTGTAAGGCTACAGGTGACAGTGTGAGGCCATAAACACAAAGAAACCCATTAGTACCCAGGGCAGTGGTAGTGCATAGTAGGCTTTCATAAGGGGGTGTTGGCTTTACAGATAAAAGAGCCAAAGGTCTAAGGCTGATTTCTATTTCCAGGGTTACTTTTGAGGGTTAGCATAAAGAATAATACACACCTACCATAGGCCTGACTCTGAGTGGGAATTCATTAGAATACAATGGGCATCCACAGAGAAGTGAAGACCCTCATAGTCAGTATTGACTTAAAATACATAACACAGTTGTTCGGCTGAGTAACCTTTCTGGCTTACTTTTATCATATTTCCTGAAAGCCAAAGTTTTGAAGCTGGTGGGATAGAATAAAAAATAAATTGTAGTCTATACTGATACGCAAAGCCCTATGATTCCCTAAGTTACTTAAACAAGAATAAAGACACTAATAAAATTTTCATGAAATGTTGAGCCTGGTGCTAGCTTCATACTAGACCCAAAGAGGCTTCACAATTGAAGTTGACAATTTTACCTAGTGCTTTGAAAGTTGTGAATACAAATACAGGCAGTTTAATGTTCCATCTAAACTTTTTCCAAACTGTCTGAAATTCTACTTGGCACTTACAGCAGAAAAATCTGTAATATACAAGGACATTTACCCAAACGGTGTTAGGAAAATGATCTCAGACAGGGGCCAGGAGTCCCATGAATCTCCTTCAGAAAAGGCAAGAATCAGAATGACTTGAAGTCACTTCTGCTTTCTGGGCCTGTTTCTTTCCTTGTAAGATGGAGGGAGCAAATAACTAGGTTTCCTGATCTAAGATTTTAGAATTCTGACTTGAAGACTGGGACTGACTATGGGAAAAGATGCCTAAGGAAGCAACAACACTAGTTCTGATGTTAGAGTTTTGGACATATGGAACATGAAGGTCTTGGTAGATTAAGGTGTCTGCAGCTGGACCAGAAAGGAAGGCAGATACAAATAAACTCTTACCTTTTAACTTCCTTGGCATCACTTGCGATGAAGAATCCTAAAGTACCTTCTTGGATCTTAAGGTGATTCCCAGGGTTAATTAATATTCTGCTCAATGAACAGAAACAAACAAAGAAGATACAAGTATGAGCTCATGGTCTGGAAAAGACCCTAATGGAAACACCATCCTGTTGTTTTGATAGGGGCCCCACTAGTCTAATGCTTGTCCCAAAGACTTTTCCTTAGAGCTTGACATTCACTGGCCCACACATGTAGTTCAATCATGCCACCATTTAGTTCCAGGTGGTCACTCAAAGGCAGGAAAATCAAAAATCCAGGTCTTAGGGTCTAGTTTGCTTAATGGCATGGCTTAGCTTCTCCCAGAGGCACCTGGCTGGAAGCATGGTTCTCATTTTGAAACTGATTTTGATGGTCAAAGTTAAAACATAGCCTAATGAAGCTCTATGCAACACCCACTCTCCCTTAGGTGATATAGCATAATGGGACCCCTATATATATATACAGAAACATACATTTATACATACCACATATGTCCATGGGGAATGGTACAGGACACCTATATTATATGTAATGCAGAATGAAACTGAACATCTTTAGAACTTTGATAAGAACATGGAAGTAGACTCCATGAAAAACCTGATCTACATGGTGACAAATGAAGCTATTATCTGTCAAATATACCCAATTATTCCAGTCTGCTTTTTATAAAAATGGATGAGTTGTGTTAATAAGATGTAAAAACAGCATGTCTTCATTGGGTCACTCTGCAGTTTAAAGACAAATGAAAATTATCTCTAAAAACAAAACAAAACAACTGCCTTATCTTGCAAGGATATACAAATTTAATTATGCACGTCCCTACATCCAAGTGCTAGAAATAGATTAGCAAGTTCTGTTTGGGATGTCGGTAGAGATAGATAAATGAATCCTAATCTAATAAATGGGAGAAACAAGCAAGTTTCTGCAGATCAAAAACAGAATACCAGCTGTCCTACACAGAAATAATGATGAGGCTTTCAGTTTACAGGTATTGAATTTAGCAGCTTAGGATGAAGCAAAAGGCAATGGCAATATTATTTGATCAGAAAAGCTAGTGATTAACGTAAGAGACATTTGGGCTCAGGCTAAAGGAAGCCACCAGCTGCCCGAAACAAAATGGGGAAGGGTAGAAATTAGCATGTGATCTTTGTCTAGTAGTAAGACCATTTCAGAAAAAAAGTGTTGTCAAAGGAGTCCTCTATCTGCAGCCAAACAGGGAGGACCCAGGTGAACTTCTGTTATGTTGGGAGAACTCTGATTAGACTATCTCTGCAGAGATTACTGTCTGCAGCTGCAAGAGCATCCACCATTATCCATAACAAGATCCGAGAGCAGGAAGAGGGGCTTCTGCCACTGCTGCTGTTAACTCTAAATAACAGCAGAGAGTGAAAAGGTGACTGCTCCGCCCCAGAACCACCAGCAGCAATGAGGTTCCTTCCACATCAGTGGTCATCAGTTCACACTAATGGGCCAGCAGTCTGCACTAAAATGACACACTGCAAAAGGCTAGGGTTTCATAAAGAGACCTTATAATTATCCTTCTGCCGACTCCCATACTGTCGTCACAAAGCCTTCTGATTTAGCACAATCATGAGGCAAAGGGATCAGAGATCATACGATTTTTATAGTTAAATAAATGTAAAAATGTGTGTGCTTGTGCTCATCAAGGTGCCTGTGAGACTATAGTTTGTATTGATTTCCTTTTCAAAATCAATGAAACAAGGCATGTTAGGGTCACAGGGTTCTAGACTTTGTGCATTTATTGTCTCATTTTCCTGAAAGGCAGTTCCTACGTGACTGACTCTGCAATCAGAAATTGGGTCCATATTCTAGCACTGACATGGTAATGTTGGATAAGTTCCTAAAACCTCAATACTTTTACCTATGAGAGGCATGTTCACACTAGCAATAGCCTTTTGTCAAAGAACCAAGTAAGATAATGTCTAAACGACTTGATACTTTTTGTTTATGATTATTTTTTTCCATTTCATTCTTACAAAAAACTTCCAAGTATATTACATTTTATCAGTAGTCCCCCTGCTCTATGCACTGGATCACTGTGCTTCTTACCAAATAATCCTCTGAGATGAAGTTGTAGGATTAAAACAAAACTAAACATGATAGAATGATGCATGAGTTTATCTATTAAAAAATTCCCACACACTTCTGGAGCCTTCAAAGTATATTCCTAAAAGTTTGGGAAATTTCCATTTTGATAAGAATTCACATAAGAATGAAAGTTCCCAATTCGGGAGGATGGGTGGGGTCCCATCATGATCTGAACAACAGAATATGAAAGGTAAAATTTGACACACATTGTCTTGGTGACATGCATGCCCCAAGACCTGTGTTTCCTTCCCTCGTGTGCTTTGTGCCCCATTATCTGCTCCCCCCAGTGATCCAACCCATTGTGTCATTGTGAATGTGCTGATCTCCAGGTTGCCATCCATAGAGACTTCTTTTCATTTCCTCCTGTCTTTATCTGCACTGAACAAGAATTGGCCTGCAGTGAAATCAGGGCAATCTCTAGATTGACAGTCTAGAGAATGCAGGTCAAGGTAATTTACCACAGTCTTCAGGCATCTCTTAATCAAGTTGGTGTGCTGAAGAGGAGAGGCTTGGTGCTGGTGGAGGTCGCCCTGGTGTTCCCTAGCAATCAATGTTAGTAAAGTACTTAGGTGCATGCATCAGCCCTAACCATTGGGTCCTGGCTTTGGAGGCAGCTAAGCCTCACCCTCCTAATCTATAAAGTGCAGCATATAATCCCTGACTGACAATGTTCCTAAGAGAATAAAGGCATACAATCTATGCAGTATATCCTTAATCTTTGGTTTCTATAAATATAAACAAGGTGACTAAAAATGTCAGAGTAAACAATCTGTCATAACTCTACTGGCCTGCTCCCCATTTTGTCTTCAATGTTAATTGAACCCTTGTGTGGGTGTGGGCTCTCTACAACATCTAAGAAATGGGTTACAACAGATTCACTTTGGGCTACACATAGTCACCCCCATCCCTTGAGTCTTATATTGATGTTCACAAGAGAGACAGCATCTCATTGTCCCCAGAGTTCTTGGGATGCTAGAATGCTCTCATGTGCTCTGTGGACAGGGTGAGAAGATTAAAATTGCATCCATATGATGTATGAGCAGGTACAAAGGTTAGGCTAAGACAGGCTTGGGATGAGGTGAGAGATTCAAAAGAATGAGCCCAGCCAAGGAAAACAATGAAATACGGAGGTCATAAACACAAGGTGCTCTGTGCCATATAGATAGGCTAGATTGAGTTCTAAGGGTGGTGAAGAACAGGCCTCTGATGCCCAGGGCCTACAACATATGAAGTTTCCTGTGTGACCTGTGAGTTTTAAAGACTCTTTGGAGAAGTACATTCCTGATTTTAGTATTTCAGATGTCATAACTGTTACCTACATTTCAAAGCTAGAACATTTAAATAAACTTCCAGCCCTCCTCTTCTTGGAAATGCAAAAAGATAAGAATTCTAAGCAGGAGTAACTTTTTCCTCTCCCTACAAAATGCCTTCTAGACTCAAAATTTGCTATTGACCTACTGGGGATATGTTAATTTTCCCCCAAGCATCTCTGACTCTGATCTTTTTAGGGGGCTATTCAATGTCAAGTTTGTTTTGTTCTTATGGCTACCAAAAGTCCTCCTCCCCCAGCACCACTTTTAATCAGTTCTCTGGCTCCAATTTTGTCTAAGCCATAAGCTTATCAGAGATAAAACTCAAGATGTGTCATGTACAGAATCAAGGAAATCTCCAAGAGAAGCCTCCTATTGAGAGAGGTCTCTCTCCCTGAATATCCATTAGCAAAATTCCAACAAGGACATCTTGTCAGGAGGAGACATTTCCTCATTTCAAGGAAAATATAAATTATCTTCTTTTTACCATGACCTTGCTGATTTTAATTGAAAACACCTAGTGACAGCTGGCAGCACAGGCCTTGTGTGGTCCCATCTCCAAGGATTCTCGCTCATCACTTTTCCTAGTTCTGCAGTGAGGCTTATTCTTTGTCTGCTTACCCTCCATAAGAGCAAAACACACAGTCTGTGTAAGAAACCACTGCTGATTAGAAGACTGAAAAACCGGATCTCTCTATTTACTCTATTTCTAAGTTTCTCTTAGTAGAGTTTAGAGTCCTATATGCTATAGGCACTTTCTAGCTCTATAGAATGAAAACCTACATCATAGTCTTTGGCCTCAGTTCTCAAAGTTTCTCTATTTCTCTCCAGTAAATGAAAGCAGCAACTACTGCAATTCTCATCAATTAGCCTGATCAAAGGAGTGACCACAAGTCTTCTTGTAGATTGGCTACCAAGCTAATGAGTTCCCAGAGGCATTAAGTATAAATATGCAAATATGTATACAGTCACTTAGGCAGCTGGAGCAATTGGTTTCAATACTGAAAGCACAACTCACTTAGAAATGAAATCCAAGTTTCTGATTGCAGAACACATCTACATGGAATGGGCTCTATCCAATAGGGCATGTCTGTATCAGAGCCCTATGGGAGATGCTACATTGAGTTCAGTTTCATTGATCATCTTATGCTTGAACTTGGGGCAGGTGGAAAAAAAATCAGGACTAGGTGGAGAGAAATATTCTTTTTCTTCTCTCTAATATTTAAGGTGCAACAGCTGCAGAATATTCAGTAATCCTTCCTTCAATCCTCTTAAACCTTACAGTTCTTTGGGGTGATGGCCAAGGATTGGTAATTTAACTGAAACAGGTTCCTTTAAGGAGACTTTCATTCATTATGGACAAATACAATGGTTGTGTGCATGCGTGTGTGTGTGTGTGTGTGTGTGTGTGTGTGTGTGTGGTTTTATTCCCACCCATCCTCCTTGAGGCATCGTGTACCATTCCCCAAGCAGTTGAGAAAATACCACAACTTCCATGAAGGTACACTTTATACTTGAAAACACAATAATCATAGTTGTGTCTAGCAAGCTAATGGGACTTCATTAAACAGAGTAAGCAAGTCAGAACCATTGAAGAGCTCAATTCATGCTATACCCAGATGACTCACACCGCTGGGAAGAGGTCTCTCTGATCACTCAAGTTCATATACAATTACTATCAGCAGGAACTTGATTTGAACCAATTTTTGTCCCCTCTCAGAAAGTTCAACTGCACTGCAGTTTGTGTTGTGTTGTGACATATCTCAGCAAAAAAAAACAAAAAAAAAAACCCAAATCTCAAACCTCACCACTTCTCTGGAGCTTTCCATTTCTTCTGGGCTTTACAATAAGTGCTGTTGGAGTCCCACACAACTAGACACATGCATTTACATTAGAATACGTGTAGAAGACACAGTTGTGTATTCCATGCTTCAATATGCATAGGCCTAGTTCACTTACATAAAGAGACACCATAATCAAGGTTGCTCCCAGTTGGCCAGACTCAAAAGACCACCACTGTGGTCCACAACATTATTGGCAAAATCTGTTTTAGCCTGAGTCCGCATCGGTAATCTTAAGTAAAATTTCAATGTATTTTTTAATATTATAAATAGACTAGCTACTTCATGGGAGAGGATAGAGAAAGCTGGTTTAGGAAGGGTAACACTGGATATGTGGTTCTGGGAGCAAGCCATACTCTCTGGTACACTTTAAGACAAGTCATGCCTACATCACAACATGCCTTCACCACAAAGTAAAAGGACCCAAGGCCAAAAGCCAACAGCAGAGGTGCAACCACTGTGGACCTTTGAAGATGCATAGTGTTGCAATAACTTCTCGCAGTTGGATCATATCAATAATACCAAACTGACAGGAAGCCACCTCTATTTATTCACATCTACTCAAAAAAAATCACAGATCTGACATTGGAAAGAGTCCCAGACAACACAAACACACAAACACACAAGTATAAACACAAATACATGACAGTGACTACAATCGTAGAGAAAAACATGAGTAGTCTGGCATTGTAATAGTCTCTTTTCAACAGTACTGTCCTAGAGAATGTGTTATTGAAAAACTATGCTGAAAATGTAACAACAACAAAACAATCACCCCAAACCCAAATAATTAAAAAATGCCATGGATGGTAATTTAGTCATGCTCCGTGCAACACAAAACAGCGGCAAAACAGGATGAAGTGACAAGGTGAAAGCTGAGATACTCCCCATTTAGAAATGTGCTCAAACACACAAGGGGAAAAAGAAAACCATGAGTTTGTCCCAACAAACAGTGCTTATTGTAGAACACAAATGTGACAGGTAGGCAGCACAGTATCAGCATCTTACATTTCTACAGAGCACTGCTCAAAAAAATTAGATAGTCAAAATGAAATCAACCCAAACAAATACTTGAAAAGGGAGAGGCACAAGGGCTTGGTCTCTGCTTTGTGGATAAAGGACAGAAACTCTGATCTACAAAGTGGAAGCTCGACAGAGGGGCAAGGAGGTCACTGGGAATGTGGATGTGGGATGGAGACAAATGGTGCCCGTCTCTGATGGACACCAGGACAACATCAGGACAATACAGAAACAGACACAAAGGGCTGGAGAGAAACGCTCTCCTTTTTAACTTTCATATGATTTGTTCCCATCGTTAGTGTTATGATTGAAGACAGGATTATACCTTTCCATTTTACTTTATTTATTTGTTTGTTTACTTTACTTTTCCTGCAAAGAAGTTAGTGCATCAACCAAAAGAATAAACAAATCAAACGAGGAGAGCAGCAGGCTACTTTTATGTATTCTAGTTGGAGACA